ACGTTTATATGTCAAAATTGTCTCCTGACTGTCTAATGTGACATTGATTCACGCCGACAGAATTATATTGAAATGCTCAGTGGCTCGTAACGTCACTCTCATCACTCTGTCGTCATATGCATAGTGAGTTACAGCCTTTTACGTTATACTGAATTCTGATTCACCTCTCCACATATCTCCCCTATAATAATCTATACAGCTGCTCTTGTATTTCCATCTTCGCTACCTCTTTCTCCTCTAATTTAAAGTAGGCAGTTTTCAGTGCATCTGTTTATAATCTACCGAATATCTGACAAAACCATCAACTATTTTCGTAAGCATTTCATACTCTTCCCGTCCTGCATCATAAGTCACTTATCTACCAGTTGCAGTCACGAATTACCATATTGCTGCACATTCTCTCCTCCCCTTTTCTTGCAGGCGTAGATAGCTGGATTCGAATTCTGCAGCACTGAGTCAGGGATAGGAAAACGATACTCAAGTTATCCCGCAAAAGAATCGAAAGCGAAAGCATGCCCCTTTAATGATCACATCATTAACCCTTCATATTGCCAATATATAAGCTAATTCAACGATTGTATTCAACAGAATATAACATATAAATTCATATCACACACTACTAAACTCCCAAATCTTCAATTCTTCAACAAATAGTGAAATCAATTTCCACAGAGTATGTAAATTAATAGGACAAATTTCTGTTTTCATTTAGAGAGTGGAACATTCGCATTTTTGTAACATTTTTTGCTATCTAAACCATTTCACATCGCTTCAGAGCACTGATATTTATAATTTTCCTCTGTACCTCGCCTGATTTTATATTTTGCACATTCTTCTAGTTCTTCTGTAGATTTGTATTCCAAACCAGCCTATTGCCCCTTTATCCTTTGGATAGCTCTTTAACAACAAAGGCTTATCATTCTAAGCGAATAAGTCTGTGTTTATATGCGTTGCACCTGCAACAAAACAAATGAGACCAAACTCATAGCTTCTTACCTTGCTGCGCAGTATGCAACAGGAACTCCTACACGCTATGTTAGGCACACATCTATATTCTGGTGGACGAAACTAATGAAGTCCTGTAGGGGAATCATGAAGTGAACGTGAAGTAATCTAATGATTATTCAATTTCACAGCCCTGAACACATGAATGAATTAAATGTAGCCTACTAACATTTTCATGTAGTAGTAAAACAGTCCTTTATCAGTTTAACTCTTCACGAGGCTTAGCTTTTGACTACCTCAGAGCTCTCATTAAGGAAAAAGACATCAAACTGATATTAAAAATTGTAATGCAGCTTGACTGAAAAAATACAATTTGTTGTCGTATCAATATGCTAGTTTTACATATTTTCCATTTTTGTCAAAAAACAAATGTTCAACAGTTACAAGAAATGTCCTTGATTTAAGTATGGATTTACCTCCCTGTCGTGAAAAACCAAACTCATCCAACCAGGTCTTCCAGCAGGCACACAATTCCCAGTCACATTCACCATCACTGGGTTATTTGTGCTCCTCCTCCCTTACCAGTATCTCTGCACATCCTGTAAGATTTTCCACCAGTTTCAGCCACCTTGTCCAAATAGCCATGCATGGGCCATTTCTCTGCAAAGTTTCCATGATGGATTCCACAATGTCACAGGAAACACACTGGTGTGATTTTATCCATTAGATTCCAAGTCAGTATTCCTTTATTTACAGGACCAATCAAAAGTTTGGACATACCTGATTAAGATGGGAAACATGCATTCAAAGACATTTTGATCCAAAGACACACTTACATGCTTGAAATGTATTTCTTAGACAAATATAAACCTTGAAGTTGATGCCTATATATGAATTTCTTTCAAAACAAAGTTTTAATTAAAAAAATGTTTTTTGGCTATTTTGAAGAATCTAAACTATAAGATGGTTTTGATTTGTTTATCACACTTTATTGGTCATTGCATAATTGAATTTTTGTTATTTCATAGTTTTATGTCTTTATTATTATTATTATTATTATTATTATTATTATTATTATTATTATTATTCTAAAATGTGGAAAATAGTAAAAATAAAAAAAGTGTGTCCAAACCTTTGACTTGCACTGTATGTGTATTTTATTCTTCCTTGTTGTTAACTGGATTTGTTTCTTGTAGATCTTCTGCATAGAAATATATGCAACTCCATTGCCATGCCAGTCTATGAAAAAGTTTATTTAGAAACCAAGTGAGACATGAATGTGAATAACAAATATGCCGGTTCAATCTAGAATGGTTGGTCACATGTTAAATTTGATCATATTTAAAGTTTGAGGAACCTTAGGTTTAAAGAAGCCAGAAAAAATATGCGTTATTAGAAGAAAAATATATTGTTTATCAATATTTTAAAGGCAGTAAAATAAATGCATGATATCCTGAACAGCAAATGTATAATAAATATTTATATTAATATAATTCCAAAGGGTTATGAAAGCAGTCCGGGAGAACGTTGTTCTTGAGGCTGAAGACAAACAGGCATATTTGATGGAATTGAAAGGGGAAGGGTTTATGTGATATTTTTGTATAGCTCATTTTTAGTAATGGCTTTTTTCCCAAACCCCTGGGAAGCCAGGATTTTGATAATTTTGATACTTTTTTGTTTTAACCCTCGTGTTGTCTTCAGGGTCAAAAATGACCTGAGACCATATTTAAGGGCACATAAAACCCCCAAATCATCTTTTTTCATCTTGAAATTTGATGACTTTTCCTCCAGTGACCCAAACATTAGAAAAAGTGAAAGATTGCCTTTGTTCATATTTCCATGACAGCTGTACACAAAAAGGGTCCAAAGATTGTCCTAGGGGTCATTTTTGACCCGGTAGTTATACAGTCATTTACACACCACAAAAACACAAAAGCACACACAGACACACACATACACATACACATACACACACACACAATGAGAAGTTGAGATTATGTGTGCTACTGACTGAACTCAGACAAAACTATAACTTTCTTGCGCATGTGCAGCATCTCCCCTCCAATGACCCCATACATGACTCCAGTTCACAGACAAAACAAAACAATTTCAGACAAAACAAACATTTCTTGAAATTTTCTAATTTTCCAACAAACATTTCTAATTGCTTACTAAGATAAGATAAGATTGAACTTTTTAGCCAAATTTTTGTTGTAAAAATTACATTTTTTGTTTTGTATTTATTATCTTATTTTCTTCTTATTTATTGTTATTGTTTGTACACTTTGTGGGTGGGGGAGTGGTTAAAAATGAGAAAAGTATTCTGTGTTTTTTTAGTATCACTGTGTTGCCAAAACTGTTATTGTTCACCTTCAATAAAATACATTCATATGTACTTTCTGCACATTTCTGCTACTTTCTTAGGCTATATAAGTGCCATCTCTTGCTGCAAAATTAATGTTTACACCTATGCAGTACCTTTAGCAAGAATAATAGTAATAATAATTAACCTGTACTTATTATGACAGGTGTGTTATAATAAAGACGAATGGTGTCCACTGATTAAATACAGTCTTTCTGCAGTGTGAAGAGGCAAAACCCAGATATTCACAAAGTTTGTGGTGAATGACAGGTTGTTTCATCATGCAAAATAGATTTGAGACTTAAAATTCAATTAAGCTGCTGTATTTTAGGGGTTTAGTGAAGGCGGGTCATTTTTGACCCTGAGGACACGGGGAGTATACAGAAAGTGAAGACAGCACGAGGGTTAAAGGGAAATGACAGGCTAAAAACCTTGAAAACAAATTTCATGAAAAACATTTCAAAAAACATTTGCAACAGTGGGCCAAGAAATACCTGAGAGGCTAGAAGTTACTTTATTGATAATTATTGGAGTGATCAGATATGTCAGCATACAAGATGACATATTCTTGATAATGAGCTTGTGAACATGTTGTCAATTAAGGATTCATGTGAAGCAGTCATTCATGAGGGTTTGGCTATGCAGGGATACAAAGAACACGTGTATAGGTGATCAACAAAGCACTGGGACTGTGAATTTAAGAAACTGATGGTGAAGTCTGTAGAGGACGACAGCTGATTTACTCACAATGAATGAATGAATTAATGTTGTCCAATATTTTCACATAGTGGGCCAGATTGATTCTAATAACTCCCAACATGCAGATTGATTCAACTCCCTGGAGCTTCTATGGGTGTTGTAAATCCGCGCTCTCGAATGCTACGGTATGTGGAGGACAAATTCGATAACTTTTAAGTTACTTTCGTCGATTTCTGTCGGTAAAATCACTGGTAAGACTGCTAACATCTGCAGCAGTTTTTTTTAGCTAGCTTACTGTATGTGCTCGATGATAGATGTCTGTGAACAGCTAGTCAGCTCATTAGCCAACATGTCTTGACTTAGCCCTGTGGTCGGTAACCCACAGGCTTGAAGAGCCATTTTTTCATTATGCCTCAATAACGCAATACTCTGAAAGCTGCTATAGACTTTCACCTTTTAGAAACCCCAGAAATAAACCGAGATTCTAATTGCTTTGAATACAAAGTCGAATCATGAATCTTGATTTAAAGTTTACATTAATAACGCGAAAACAAATTTTTACACTGTTGTGATGAGAAGGAGGGTTATTTTAAAATGATATTGCATGTTCTACTTGTCTTGCATAGGAAATAGTGAAATTTCAAAACTACCTACCGGCCTCCGTCCCATAATCCGCAGAAAGATAGGTGGATACTGCTTGTGATTATTTCAGTTACTCAAAATCAGCTGGCTGTTACATTAAAACGATATAGGCTACTGTTTCGTAGTTAGATAATAGCTAATGTTACAGATGTTTGTGATGATACAATTCATTTACAATTTAGTGGGTAAAGTGTTTGTTTTATTGTGAGAAAATACCGTGGTTTGTTACGTTTTTATCTTATGTAACTTTTTAGCAACCAGCTACGCTTACCTGAGACTTCCAATACTAGTAGATTTGAATGAGAATGAATGTATACTGTATGAAGAGAAGAAGAAAAAAAAAAAAACACTGTCCTTCGAGCCGGATTCGAACCAGCGACCTAAGGATGGCTATGAATCATTCTACAGTCCTCCGCTCTACCAACTGAGCTATCGAAGGCAGATAGAAGCAGGTGTCTTAATGTGAGTATTTTTCCGTTCACGACATGTACAGCAACAATCCCAATTTTTTTTAGACTTATTTTTTATCATTAACTATATCTTCTTGCTTCGGTCTGTTGTTAAGAAGATAGTTTCATACAAATACGATTATCGTAAAGAAATTGCTCAAACGGTAATGGTACGCTGATAAATTCCTTGGCCTCAAAGTAAACGGTCCTCTTATTTGTGATTTTATTTGGCGGGCAAGGTATCTTAAGAACAACCTAACTAGCTGAAGACTATAATAAAATACAATAAAAAACATCCATATAGTGTCACATTTAAGAAGGGTTGAGTATCTGCACTGTAACATGATGCTGCGGATTACTGCTTGGGCGAAAAGCCCCAGTGGCCTAATGGATAAGGCACTGGCCTCCTAAGCCAGGGATTGTGGGTTCGAGTCCCATCTGGGGTGAATGATTTCTTTTAGCTACAAGAAGCTACCAGCTATAGTTAGGTCAGTAGCAATATTATCTATATAACTATAAACTAATCAAAAACTATCGCGATATCTTTTTGTATTTGTCTTATACTTCACCTCGAATTATATACTACTACATTTAACTACTAGAATACACCCGTAGCTGTGTGGTTCCATGGTGTAATGGTTAGCACTCTGGACTCTGAATCCAGCGATCCGAGTTCAAATCTCGGTGGAACCTAAGCGTTTTGTTTTCCTTCATGTTTTGATAAAGGAAAAACAAGTGCGCTACTGAAATGATGAGGCGACATATAACAGAGGCAACTCGGTATCTTGGGTATCATTAGGCTATCAAGGCCCTGTAAAACCGACTAAAATGTTAACGTATAACAACGACGCCCATTAGAGAAGTGGCCGCCAGCCTGCGCCAGCGAACTCTTACACATCCCATATATATCCATATATATAATTATTGGTTAATATCATTGTTTGCTTATTTCGACTTTCATAGCACTTTCGTCTATTTTAATTAATCTTTATTTCGCCAACCATAGTGCCCACCAACACGCCGATGCACTGTCGTAAAAGCTGACCACATGTCAAGCCGTAAAACAGTTGAAGTGCAACATGGCTGCGTCTGTAGTTAGGAGGGCTTATTTATTTGTACCTGGGTTTATCGGGGAGCCGGTTCCAAACCTGTCGGGTTTATTTTACGGAATGTTAACTACAAACTGTAAAAGCGCTTACAGACTCAGCAAAATTTGTCTCATTCATAGATTTAAGTATGGCTCTAAGGCGACGGATTGCGCACGGGTAAATTGTTCAGATAGCTACTGCTTGTCGTTTGTCAGTTAACGTATCTATATAGCGCTTTCGCAGCAGATACGGCTCGCAAGGTGTTTGAAGGCGCATTACCTTTGCTGTTACACATCCAGCTAATTAGGTTCACGAAGAAAGTTAACGACGTTACGTTTACAACGCTTACTGATTGACCAAACTGTTTTAACTATCCACCTGGGTAACGTGAAATAGTTACCTATGATTAATTATGTAAGTTGCTCTGCATAAGGGTGGCTGTTAAGCAAAAAATTGAAATAAAATATATTGATTGATGTTTATCTTTTATGCAGGACGAACTGATAAACATTCCAGTTGGTATGTAATATGAAGTTATTTCTACGTGGTCGGTGGAAATCTTACTTATATATAGCTGTTTTTCCTTGCAGGCTAGCTAATGCTCCCCTTCTGTCCCCTGTTCAGATCGGCTGACCGTAACCTACAGTCGCAGCAGTGGGCCAGGCGGGCAGCACGTAAATAAAGGTCAAAACATGGTCACTGTTTACATTTAGCTTCTTGTATAACATTCATAACAGTAGCAAACAAGGACAAGTTAGGTAGCTTACTATATAGCCAACTGGGTTTTTTTCCCCGACAAGCCGAATAACACCACGGGGAAATAAACAGGGAGGAACTAAGTTAATGGACTTTTGTATTTTGTAATATTGTATTATTTTGTATTTGTATTATTTGTTTATTATATGTTTTTGTATTATCCACGAGGGGCTGCAAACAATGTAGCAAGTCTCATAATGGCATATGCTGTTTTTCTTTTACAGTTAACACAAAAGCAGAGGTCCGATTCCACGTACAAACAGCTGACTGGATTCCGGAGGAGGTGCGAAACAAAATCCTTATTAAGGTAATATTTCTGATACGATATTCAGATGAACACTATAGCACGTTGCTGTGAGCATTAAAGTGAATTCCTTTGAATAGCAGAGAGGGAACCGGGGTAGAATTCATATAGTAAATGTCAAACCTGTAAGACACCATCAATACCTGTACAATGCAGAATAGTAGCAGCCCAAGTTAGAATGTTAGGAATGAATTGTTTTAGCTATTGTGTAATTCAAGAAACTGGAATCAATAACATGAGTGACTCTGGGAGATATTTAACCAATACATATGCCATTTTATTGTGTTCACACAAGCTTTTCTTTATTCTATGTCTGCACCAACCCCTAGTTTTCACTCCTGAATCCTCTAATATGACCCTAGTAACTGATAAGGATACATATTCTCTTTGAATCTTGATTTGCCAGTTGAAACACATACTTTGTCAGTATACCATATTAGCAGTCTAGTACTGCTGATATACATCTTATTCAGACATTTTTTCTATCCCCTCCTGACCACAAAAGAATAAAAACCGCATCAACAAAGCAGGAGAGTTGCTGGTAACTTCAGAGGTTAGCCGCAGTCAACGGAGAAACCTGGAGGACTGCTTGCAGAAAATCAGCGACATCATCTCAAAGGTCAACCAGAAGCCACACGAGCCAACAGCAGAAGATGTTGCTCTTCGGCAAGCCAGGTAAAGTTCTGTCCACCCTGTCAGCTCAGCGGACCAAGCATGGAGAATAACGCTGTCCATACAAAGAAGGTTGTAAGCACGTCATTGTAAAAGTCACATTTGACCAGGATATGCCAGAGTGGGAAAAGCTGAAAACAGTCCTATCATTTTTTCTGTCTTTCCCATCTTCTGATTTACATCTGGCCTTGTGCATTAAAGCTTGCCTCAATGGCATTTCAAGTTGGATGTGCAGTAGGTACCTCAAACTCCTAAACAGAATTAATCTATCTTCTGGCCTGTCCCCTTAACAATCTTTCTTTTAGCTTTGATAACACAAAGATGTCTGGATCCAAGATTGCCAAGAATCTTGGTGTAGTTCTGGGGAACTGTCCTTTACCGAGAACACAGCATCAGTCACCTGGAGCTCTTGATTCTTTCTTTATAATATCTGCAAAATCTGTACTTTTCTCACTGCATATGCTGTCTAGCTCAATACCTAGGCATTGTGCAGGCACTTTGTTGGGACTACTACAGCTCTCAGCTTCTTGGTTTCCCCACATGTGCCATCAAGCCCCTTCAGCTCATATAGAATGCTGCGGCTCATATTGTTGTCACACCTTGCATGTCACACCTCTGTTTGATTGAATGCCTAGTTACTATTTGATATTTAATCTGACAGATGTTTTCACCTGCTTATATTTTGTTCAGGCTAGAACACAGGAACCAGGAGAGGCTGAAACAAAAGAAGATGCACTCCACATTAAAACAGAGCAGAAGAGTGGATTTTGATTAAGGGGAAGACTTCTCTTCTTGATCATGAATGTTTAGTAAATGTGATGGACAATCATAAACTTTTCCTTGTTGTTAAATAAAATCAGACCAGCTGCCAGTGTACATCTGTCATCTGCCATGAAGATATCTTGAAGAAAAAAATGATCTCAGTCCAGAATATTCACAGACACCACTGAACATCTGAGTTGTTTTAGTAACATTCTTTTTAAACGTGGGAATGCACTCAAACACATTTGGAGACTTTGGTCTGTTTAGGATCTACAAGCTTTATAATGCAACAAGGGGATTTCAATAGTTTCATAGTTGCTGGTGTACTTGAGTCTTTCCCTTGTGTTTCATACTAAACAAAGAGTCATTATACACTCACTGGCCACTTTATTAGGCACACCTGTCCAACTGTTCGTTAACGCAAATTCCTAATCAGCCAATCACATGGCAGCAACTCAATGCATTTAGGCATGTAGACATGGTCAAGACGATCTGCTGGCATCAGAATGGGGAAGAAAGGTGATTTAAGTGACTTTACGTCGGGCTGGTCTGAGTATTTCAGAAACTGCTGATCTACTGGGATTTTCACGCACAACCATCTCTAGGGTTTACAGAGAATGAAAAAAGAGAAAATATCCAGTGAGCGGCAGTTCTGTGGGCGAAAATGCCTTGTTGATGCCAGAGGTCAGAGGAGAATGGCCAGACTGGTTCGATGATAGAAAGGCGACAGTAACTCAAATAACCACTCACTACAACCAAGGTATGCAGAAGAGCATCTCTGTTTTGAGGCAGATGGGCTACAGCAGCAGAAGACCACACCGGGTGCCACTCCTGTCTAAGAACAGGAAACTGAGGCTTTGGACAATAGAAGATTGGAAAACGTTGCCTGGTCTGATGAGTCTCGATTTCTGCTGCGACATTCGGATGGTAGGGTCAGAATTTGGCGTCAACAACATGAAAGCATGGATCCAACCACAGCCTACCTGAGTATTGTTGCTGACTATGTCCATCCCTTTATGACCACAGTGTACCCATCTTCTGATGCCTACTTCCAGCAGGATAATTTGCCATGTCATAAAGCTTTAATCATCTCAGACTGGTTTCTTGAACATGACAATGAGTTCACTGTACTCAAATGGCCTCCACAGTCACCAGATCTCAATCCAATAGAGCACCTTTGGGATGTGGTGGAACGGGAGATTCGCATCATGGATGTGCAGCCGACAAATCTGCAGCAACTGCGTGATGCTATCATGTCAATATGGACCAAACTCTCTGAGGAATGTTTCCAGTACCTTGTTGAACCTATGCCACGAAGGATTAAGGCAGTTCTGAAGGCAAAAGGGGGTCCAACCCGGTACTAGCAAGGTGTACCTAATAAAGTGGCCAGTGAGTGTATACACAGCAC